GATTTTCATCCAGGTATTAAAGGCGATCCTTATATTTGTCATGATGTTGGTTGGTTCCGTTACTTATGAGCCACCAACGATGGGGAGGGGGGTGCCACTGGCGGTACTTCCTGAAAGGTTGGTGGCCCACCTTTGTCAAACCCCTTGAATTACAGCTGAAAGTCCTGACTTCGCTCCCATCTGGGTGTGTTTCTTTTCAACCTCAGTTTACAGAGGTCAAATGCCAAAACAGTTACCCTTGTTCCAATATTTCTGGTCCTGACTGTATATATTGCATGCCTTTTTATAGCTCCCATCATATTATGTGATCCCTCCATCCTTCGCATGGGGGCTAGCGGGTGAGTCTGTCACTGAGTTTGGTTTGAGTGAAAGCATTCCCCTCATGGGCAACCTACCATTTTTTATGCAGTTTTTAAGGTTCTTTGTTGCAAGGTCTTAAACGCACCTTCACTCTCTAGGTGAAAGTCACGCGTCCCCAGTAGAACATAAAACCAGATTTGCTCCCCTTTCAGGGATACCACGATGTATGCTGTTTCCGCAGATAACAGGGGCCTGGACACCATGGTCAGTCTGTTGGCTGATGTGGTTCTCCAGCCCAGATTGTCAGGTGAGCTGGTTTTTGTAATCTAATAAATTAAAAATAGAAAATAATAATTAAAAAGTAGGTTGTCAGGTGAGGTTATCGTGAAGTCTTCTGTGCCTGAAGGGAAGAGAGGAAGAGCCAGGCAGGGGTTTCGCTGCCCCACCTGAATATAGATTGCGTTGACATAAAGGTGCTTGTGGTTTCTGCCACAAGAGAACGTGGCAGTGACAGTGGCATAATTCAGAAGGATGGGGCTGGGAGAAAGGCTAAGATGGCAGGAGGGGGCATAGGTGGGTGTGCCCGATTGAATTTATCTGCTGGGAAGCAACACGAGTTTATTCAGTGGGATGTGGTGGGCGTTTGGGATGCGGGAAAGAATGTTCCTCCCCTTCCAGTGGATCTGTGCATGTGCCCCTGTTCCTCGGTAGGAAGTGGGTCCTGGACCTGTGGGGCTGGATTCCGAGGTGGTCCTCTTTGGCTTCTCTTGGCAGATGAGGAAATTGAGATGACTCGTATGGCAGTTCGCTTTGAGCTGGAGGACCTGAACATGAGGCCCGATCCAGAGCCATTGCTGACCGAGATGATTCATGCAGTAAGGCTCACTAGGATTCTGCCCTATGAAGCCTCCGAGCTGTGCAGCCGCCTTCCACTAATCTCGTGAATTGAGCTGGGGGGCGGGGGGGGGACGCTATTATCAGCATGCCAGATGGGGCAACACCTGAGTGATTTGAGAGGCCCTGGGTGGCTTCCTCATTGGTCACAGTTCCCTTCCTGCGGTGGCCAGATGCCAGTTTCCGGAAGGAGCACAGGTTTGTCTTTTTTATGATGAGCGACGGGGTTCATTTTTGAGGGGACAGGGAGATAAACACTTCTTTGTGTTCCTGCCTGCAGCTTGGGAAGTGGAAGGAAATTCTCAGTGTAGGAACGTGGAGCGTTTGGGATGCAAAGCCAAAAGGGGCTTTGGTGTGAGTGTGGGTGCGCACGCTGCACTGGAAGAAACTTTGGCTTTTCTTTTGGCCAGCGGGGTGTGACAGAGTGGTTCAGAGGGTTGTGGGCACACTTTCAGTGCCTCCTTAACTACAATGTGTATTTTCCTGGGATTGTACAGGTACCCTGTGAGCCCAAGTAAAGATGCGCCTTCTTTAAGGAGGTGCCTCGTGTGCTGCGTGTGCACCCATGTCTGCTGCAAAGCCCCTTTTCAGCTGTGGATCCAAAGCGCTTCACACACACAGCCGCTTGCAGGCCATGGCATTGGGGACAGGGGAAGATCCCATCAAAGGGCTGAGAGGCAGCATGGAGTTCTCAGCAGCGTAGGCCACGGATCAGGGAGACCTGGGTTCAAATCCAGACTTGTCACCCATCTCACTGCTTCTTAGCATGGCTGTGTGGATAACCATTCCGGTCTGATCCAGTGTTGCTGCGGATACGTTTTTGGGTTGTGCAAACCTGAAGATAAGAGAGCTGGCCAAGGGGTTCCAACCATCATCTCCGTGAAGGCCAGATTTTCGTGGGAAGAGCAGCTTTTGACATGCCCTGGTCCTGCTCGTTAACTCCAGCACTCGAGATCCAGGGTCAGCATCATTTAAAGGCATACCTTCAACTGTGGAATCCGTGGCATAATGCTTTTGCAATATTGGTGGGCGAATAATTGAAGCCTTTAGGAGAGGATGTTACTTTTTCAGGTCTGGGTCTCCCTTGTGCTCAGAAGAGCTGTATTTTTATCAAAAAAAAGTTGGACGGCACGGGCTTTGTCATGTCTTGGTGCATGTGGCCAGCAATAACCCTAACGCAAGAAAGTACGGTCAAGCACGTTTTGTCATTGCCTTGTTTTCTGAAAATCAACATATTTGTCCTGGTCTTCGACAGGCAGC